AACACCCTCCATGACCACCTGTAGCACCAACACTCTTCAGAGGCCACCTGTAGCACAAACACCCTCCAGGGCCACCTGTAGCACTAACACCCTCCAGAGGCCACCTGTTGCGCAAACACCCTCCAGGGCCACCTGTAGCACTAACACCCTCCAGAGGCCACCTGTAGCACCAACACCCTCCAGGGGCCACCTGTAGCACCTACAACTTCCAGGAGGCCACCTGTAGCACCAACACCCTTCAGGGCCCACCTGTAGCACCAACACCCTCCAGGGCCCACCCGTTGCACCAACATCCTCCAGGGCCCACCTGTAGCACCAACACCCTCCAGGGGGCCACCTGTAGCACCAACACCCCTCCATGGGCCACCTGTAGCACCAACACCCTTAATGGGCCCACCTGTAGCACCAACACCCTTAAAGGGCCACCTGTAGCACCAACACCCTCCAGACCCACCTGTAGCACCAAGACCCTTAAAGGGCCACGTGTAGCACAACACCCTCCAGGGCCACTTGTAGCACCAACACCCTCAAGGGCCAACTGTATCAGCAACACCCTCCAGGGCCACCTGTAGGACCAACTCCTTCCAGGTGCCACCTGTAGCATTAACACCCTCCTGGGGTCACCTGTAGCACCATATCCTACAGGTGCCACCTGTAGCATTAACACCCTCCAGAGGCCACCTGTAGCACCAACACCCTCCAGGGTCCACCTGTATCATGAACACCCTCCAGGGGCAGCTTTATCACCAACACCCTCCAGAGGCCTCCAGTAGCACCAACACCCTCCAGGGCACCAATCCCCCTTATTGCCACTCCTTTACGGATTAATCCGCGAAGGAGTAAAAAGCATAACTCCTAACCAAATCTGTGACCTAATTATATTCTATAAAACAAAGAAGACTACCGACCTCCTTACTAAAAACAGCCCGAAGCTGACGGAGAACTCTTTTCTGCAGCTAAACGTGGTATATATGTACACCTGCCCTCATGAAGGATGTAGCCTTCAATCTAAGTTCATAGGTATGACGTCAACCAAGCTGACGAGGAGTTTAATCTGTCATCTTCAATCAGGTGCCCCGAAAAATCACATGAGACAAGCCCACAACATCTCCCTAACAAGAGAAGTGTTTGAATAAAAACCCTTGTATAATAGACAAAACTTTAGATGTAAGAAGATTACAAATTCTTGAAGCAATCCACATAATAATAGCACAACCTACCACAGATACCCAAATTACGGAACTATTCACTCTACCCACCATGAGAGTAAGAACAAGACTAGAACGTGAAGTTGCCAACATAGAAGACACTGCTCAATATACAAGGGCTACTACACCTGATTAATCATTGCATGTGCTTCGTCTCCTATTTTCGCCTTTTTCTTCTACGCCTTACCTATTCCTTTATTCTTGTCCCATTTTGTATAGATCTACTTGTCCTTACCTGACCCCTTACTGGTATAAATCTAACACGCCTTGTATTTTCTTATCACTTGAGAATGAACCATATAGGTTCGAAACGTGTAAATTTTATAATAAGTGTGATACATTCTACAGTTGTTTATTTATTTTTCTTCACCTTGAATGAAGAGGACCTTTGAAGAACTCCTCTTCCAATTAAACCAAGATGCTAGACCAACACTAGTCCGAGCGATAGAAGCCCTAAACAAGAAAATAATCAATACAGAATATATATATAAATAGCTATCCAGGGGCCATATATAGCACCATCACCCTGGGCCGCTCTAGGCAGCCTTCCACACGGATTCAAATACTGAGAGATTTATGTGTACATTAACATAGTTACAGAGGTTAAGTTACATGTCGAAATATATTGGTATAGGTAGAGTTAATGGTACACTCAGGAGTAAAGAACAGCTGAAGGTACAGCTGATGGAGCAGCTAGAGGGCCAAGGGTAGATGATGTACTAGAGGTAGTCTACTCACTGTAGAGCTCCAGGTAGAGTGTGGTAGACAAGGGCTCGGTGATGTTGTTGTTAGAGGCGCGGCAAGTGATGTTGGCGTGGGCGTAGTCTGTGGTGAGGGCGGGGATGATGAGGGCGGTCCTGACGTAGCGAACGCCCACGCCCACGCCCACAGTGTGCACCACGTCGTCCCCTTCCTCCTGGGAGGCCAGGAGGGTGCCGTCCTCTCCCACCGATACACTGGTGTTGGTCAGCAGACTCGCCCCCTTCCACCAGGTCACCTGAGCCGGCGGCCGACCTTCCCATCAGGATGGAACAGTGGCCCAGTTAGTCACCCTCTCTCACTGTGCCCTTCCCACCACCGCTCCCTTCCCACCACCCCTCCCTTCCCTTCCCACCACCCTTCCCTTCCCACCACCCTTCCCTTCCCACCACCCCTCCCTTCCCTTCCCACCACCCCTCCCTTCCCTTCCCACCACCCCTCCCTTCCCACCACCCCTACCTTCCCACCACCCCTCCCTTCCCTCCCCACCACCCCTCCCTTCCCTTCCCACCACCCCTACCTTCCCACCACCCATCCCTGTGAGTTAACCCAACATGACACACATGAGGTGACCCAACATGACCCACATGAGGTGACCCCAACATGACACACATGAGGTGACCCAACATGACCCACATGAGGTGACCCCAACATGACACACATGAAGTGACCCAACATGAGGTGACCCAACATGACACACATGAAGTGACCCAACATGAGGTGACCCAACATGACACACATGAAGTGACCCAACATGACACACATGAAGTGACCCAACATGACACACATGAAGTGACCCAACATGACACACATGAAGTGACCCAACATGAGGTGACCCAACATGACACACATGAAGTGACCCAACACGAGGTGACCCAACATGACACACATGAAGTGACCCAACATGAGGTGACCCAACATGACACACATGAAGTGACCCAACATGACACACATGAAGTGACCCAACATAAGGTGACCCAACATGACACACATGAAGTGACCCAACATGAGGTGACCCAACATGAGGTGACACAACTTAAATTGACCCAACATGACACACATGAGGAGACCCAACATGACCCACATGAGGTGACCCAACATGAGGTGACCCAACATGACCCACATGAGGTGACCCAACATGACCCACATGAGGTGACATAACATGACACACATGAGGTGACCCAACATGAGGTGACCCAACATGACTCACATGAGGTGACCCAACATGAGGTGACTCAACATGACCCATGAGGTGACCCACATGAGGTGACCCCAACATGACCCATATGAGGTGACCCCAACATGACCCATATGAGGTGACCCAACATGACAAACATTAGGTGACCCACATGAGGTGACCCAACATGAGGTGACTCAACATGACCCACATGAGGTGACCCAACATGATACACATGAGGTGACCCAACATGAGGGGACCCAACATGACCCACATGAGGTGACCCAACATGACCCACATGAGGTGACCCAACATGACACACATGAGGAGACCCAACATGAGGTGACCCAACATGAGGTGACCCAACATGACCCACATGAGGTGACCCAACATGAGGTGACCACACAGTAAACACTGACTCACCTCCGGAAGCGATACAGTAGAGGGTGAGGGCGTCCCCCTCCGTCAGAGACCTCACTACACCTCCATGGATGGGGCGGCTGTTGGCGTCCAGCACCACTATCCTGGACGGCACCACTGTGGAGGAGACGGTGGTTAGTGGCACCACTGTGGAGGAGACGGTGGTTAGTGGCACCACTGTGGAGGAGACATTGGTTAGTGGCACCACTGTGGAGGAGAGACATTGCTTAGTGGCACCACTGTGGAGGAGAGACATTGCTTAGTGGCACCACTGGAGAGGAGACGATAATTAGTGGTGATACTGTGGAGCAGACTGGGTAGTGGCACCAATGTGGATGAGTAGGAGGTTAGGGAGACTTGGTAGAGGCACCATTATGGAGTGTAGATCAATGTCAACACCCCCAGTAATGTCAACACCTGTGGTAATCTCAACACCCGACTTAATGTCAACACCTGGATTAATGTCATCACCGACATTAATGTCAACACCCTCAGTAATGTCAACACCCTTGTTAATGTCAACACCTGCCAGTGTCATGTCAACACCCACAGTACTGTTAACACCTACGATAATGTCAGCAGGGAAAAGTACGCCTACGACCGCGCGAATGATGTTTCTCTCCACTTACGAACATGTTGGTTACACACACACTCTCAAGTTCATCTTAATAAGATTTATTCTTAGGAGAAATTATACACCTTTATATTTTTGTATTAAATTCTTAAAACAGAAACAACAATAATCAGTTTTAATCTAGTAGTTGTGTAGGGCGCTACAGAGCAAACCGCAAGACTAACTATCGCCCAGGTGCTGTCCTGTACACCTAATACAGGAATCCACCACACCAGCAACACCTCATCACACCCCTTCTTCCTGGTGTAGCTCTCCTACACCCCCACCCCACCAACATGCTCGTGTACAGTCTAGACCCAATACTGACTGAGAGAGAGAGAGAGAGAGAGAGAGAGAGAGAGAGAGAGAGAGAGAGAGAGAGAGAGAGAGAGAGAGAGATAGAGAGAGAGAGAGAGAGAGAGAGAGAGATAGAGAGAGAGAGAGAGAGAGAGAGAGAGAGAGAGAGAGAGAGAGAGAGAGAGAGAGAGAGAGAGAGAGAGAGAGAGAGAGAGAGAGAGAGAGAGAAGGAAAAGATAGAGAGAGAGAGAGAGTGAGAGAGAGAGAGAGAGAGAGAGAGAGAGAGAGAGAGAGAGAGAGAGAGAGAGAGAGAGAGAGAGAGAGAGAGAGAGAGAGAGAGAGAGAGAGAGAGAAAAAAGATAGAGAGAGAGAGAGAGAGAGAGAGAGAGAGAGAGAGAGAGAGAGAGAGAGAGAGAGAGAGAGAGAGAGAGAGAGAGAGAGAGAGAGAGAGAGAGAGAGAGAGAGAGAGAGAGAGAGAAGGAAAAGAGAGAGAGAGAGAGAGAGTGAGAGAGAGAGAGAGAGAGAGAGAGAGAGAGAGAGAGAGAGAGAGAGAGAGAGAGAGAGAGAGAGAGAGAGAGAGAGAGAGAGAGAGAGAGAGAGAGAGAGAGAGAGAGAGAGAGAGAGATTTGAGAAAATTATTTATCAGGTGATAATGCTTCTCACTCCACAGCTCGTAACCTCATAGTTAACACCAGCGAATCATCATCTATCTGCAGGCGATGAGTCACAATAACGTGGCTGAAGTATGTTGACCAGACCACACACTAGAAATTGAAGGGACGACGACGAAATCGACTTGAGAATGGTCCAGGACGGACCGAAACGTCGTCGTCCCTTCAATTTCTAGTGTGTGGTCTGGTCAACATCATCTATCTGCGTCTAGTTAGCCAACTCTCTCTGACAATTCTAGTAAAATATTAGAATACAATGCATTACATTCAAATAAATATTATCATCTACTTATATAGGAACTCATAGAGATGATGAGAGAGAGGGGTCGACGAACCAAACCGAGATAGAACCCATTTCATACTTATCACTCTCTATCATTTTATCTCAATGCATATCACTGTGTAGTTCAAGTTAAATAAAAACATGACAGACAGTAAGAAAGAGCAAATTCACAAGGGCCGTGATGAGGGTGTGGAGGTTTTCTATTTTGCTTTCCCGACTGCAATGCCTACGTCGCCAATGTACATGTGGCAGACGCTTCACGAAGCTGTCGGAATCAGCAGAGAAAATACTAGAGCAATCGTACAGGGCCTGGGAGCAAGGTCGAGTTAAAATCCTTGAGGGTCTCTTCTCAGACAAGCCTCACCTAGTGCTTGTCCACGTTGATCGTTGGAATCTCCTCAGTGCTTGAAACACTTTAAGGGACTCCTAGGGTCCTCATCACATCTATAGATTAGTGAATTAGGCAACTCGGTGTTGGAGACACCTGGAGTTGAAGGCTTGAGTAAATAGCTGGCAGTATTCAGAAGTGGTTCAACGGAAACACTGCATAAAGCTTAACAGTAGTTTTTTTACTAACTTAACCACTAATACAAAGGGTGCTTGATTTACTTTAGATTGGTGTCAGAAAGGCTATGGTTACATTAGCGAGGGTCTTGACGTCTGCCTAATCAATTCAGATCCACTCGTGGTGAAACACCTAACTTAACACAGTTGACAGCCAATCATTAACATGGCAAACCTAACTGCCGGTATGCAAAGGGATTACAAGATTTCCAACCGGATACTCGGGTAATGATGATATGTAATAACTCAACAATGGCACTGTCAATGGGACAGGCAACAACATGCATAATAATAATATCACACAATACTAAATGTGTGGTGTATGTGAAGCTCACATTCATAGATGAGTGTAATGTCGCGATACCACACAGATAAACACACATACACCGTCGGGTGTCTTCACCTATACCTGTGTCAGGTATGAGACGGTGAGAACTGTGGTTGATGCCTCAGATCAACACAGACAGACACAATAAAACAATGACAAGATCTTGTACTTACAGTTAGGCTACCTCTCTTATTCACTCTCTCACTCAGGCACATTTATGCAAGAACTCGTAAGTGGCCTGACAGCTGGTTCTGCTCGTCACGACGTGAGACCATTGGTGACAGGCTTTCCCACAAACCGTACTTGACACAGGGGTACTCACAGGAGGGCGTGCTGTATGTCTAACCAACACACTCATATACTTGGTGGCACTGGCGATGAGTAAGGGTGGTGACGTCACATAGTACAGTCAGGGCGGCGGCTGGCGGGCTACACACTCGGGACAGAGTGGCGGCTAGCGGCGGCTGACTATATGGTGCCATGCAGTACACTTGTAGTAAAGTCACACACAGGTTACTTAGGCGGCGGCACTGCCTTAGTTCATTGTAGGTCACTCACAGACGATCTCTATTTGTCACCAGGGGTTTCCTGATACGAGTCTGTTTTGCTCTGGTGATTTGGCACTAGGCTTCTGAACAATATAGTCACAGTCGCGATTCCGGGCGAGTGTTGGTATATCGAAAAGACGCTGAGTTTAACTTGACGGTGAGGAATAGACGGTGTTCTTCTGTCTATTTACCAATATTTATTTATTTATTTATTTATTTATATATATACAAGAAAGTACATTGGGTTTGTGAGAATACATTGGATTGTACAGTATTTACAATAGACAGAACATGACACGTCCTCTATGCAAGGGCTCCCTCACGTGAAAGCTCTTGCCAGCGGCTGTAGGGTATCTCGTGGGACACAACACAAGGGATTACAATTTTACCAATGACATTGCAGCAAAAGAGCGGGAACCAATCATATTGATTGTTCCCTGATCAGTAGCAGAGGTGACGTCATGAACACGCCACGACCACGTCACAGTTGTTATTCTCCATCTTGCCGGCAGAGGCTGACCCCAGAGGTCAGTCGCCTCACTGGCGTCTCCTCTCCCTCTGTAACGCTGGCACCTCCTATGTACTCACTGACCCTTTGTGGCAAGTATGCTTAACTTTCCTGTATCTACTTCCTGCCTGGACATACGGCGGCCTCCATATTATAAACGTTTTCCTGGTTATGTGGGCATCTTGGGGACACCCATCATGATAGATTACTATCCAGGGTTAACAGAGATAGGGCTTGTGCACAAAATCGGTGCACTGTGCACTGCAATGAGCCATTCAAGTCAGCTGTGGGAGAATTTTGAGAGACCAACTCTCATAGAGGGTTCGAATCATCCCTTGTGGATTTGTTCGTTTGATATATACACTATTGTGATTTCGGTATGTATGGAAATAGAAAGAGTATTACATCGTGTGTTAGGAATATCAAGGTAAACAAAATACTAGCCACAGTTGTTACATATATGTAAGAGAGGTCTGCTACGATACGCCCTCATCATTGCGAGTTACGACTTACAAGTCTGTATCATCATGGGAGGCTAATGTAGATCTTTCTTGAGCTAAGAGTAAATCGCATATATTTTTTGTATAGATCTAATCCGATCAAATTCTAACTAGAATTTTTTTCCCAATCACAGTTACTTCTCTATTATAACTTAGCAAGATTAGTAAACCAGTCAAGTACTTCTTAAATATTACTGTACCAGTTTAAAACATTATACACTCACCAAGTGCTTACTCTGCTTAATCCACATATTTTGCTCTGATCCTTACTATTCATTCAGTATAGTCAAGAATCAAACTAGGTCATTCAAATTCCTTACACAATTTCTCAGCGTACTCACTCTCATTATGCAAATCACTATGTCTATTCTACATTAACTCGAATATCAAATTGCTGCACAATTACCAATTATTCACTTACACTGTGCTCACCCAACCCGTTCTCGCAAATTCGTAAAGTCAATATTGACTTATTAACTACGTGCATAGGTGATATACTAAACATAATAGATACCCATTAAAAGATTCATAGAAAACACCGACCTTACCTAACCTTGTTAGTATCTTAAGATAAGCATCTTATTGCTTCGTAATTACAATTATTACTTAACCTATACCTATATAGGTTAGGTAATAATTGTAATTACGAAGCAATAAGATGCTTATCTTAAGGTACTAACAAGGTTAGGTAAGGTCGGTGTTTTCTATGAATCTTTTTAAGGGTATCTATTATGTTAAGTATGTCACCTATGCACATATTTAATAAGTCAATATTGACTTATTAAATTTGCGAGAACGGGTTGGCTCACCTACCAATTCGCTTCTCATTTCACCACAGCCTCTCATTTTCCACCTAGTTGATTTGGTGCCTTCTTTTGATAATTACTTACTTTCCACCTAGTTATAGGTTAGATTAAGGAAAATTGGGTTATATTAATGTTATA